TATCATGGGACATTGGGGAAAAATGGGCAGGTAGCTTATGGATATAAAGAGGTCCTGTATCTTATGGTTGATGGAAGGTGAGTGCCCCTAGGTGACTTCTATTGCAGAAGGAAATAACTAGATTTTAGATATTTATACTAGGAGTTCCCTATCTCACACAGTGTGACGACACCGGTTAGTTGTTTGCCAAATGATTTTCCCTCCCTCCTGGTCACAGAACAGGTCCATTTCCAGTTTGTATGCCAATTGAGTCAATTGCACACTGAGTTCTGGCCAATGGGATGTGAGCAGAGGTGACATGAGCCACTTGCAGACAGGACATGGCTCCCCATTGTACCACTCTCTGTGCCCCAATCCCCTTATAATGACTAAACAAGGAGCACTTCGAAGAACAAGAGAGGGAGTGGGAGCCATGAGATGGAAGAACCCTTGGTCTCTGGATAATTGCTTGGGATCAGCATGTGTAGGACTATTACTTAGGGAGAAAACTAAAATATAAATATAGGTTTATTGTGTTAAGCCATAGATTCTGTGGTCATTAAAACAGCCTGCTTGAGTAATAAACATAGGTGAGGTTGGGACTTAAGCAAATAAGACAACTGCTCACTAGGGCCAAATCCAATTATCAGAGTAGAATTGGGAGATATAACAACTTGTACCTTTTATGAGTTTATTTTCTCTGAGTCAGTGTGGACAAAGTTTTGACTTCTGAATGCTTGGGGACCAAGTATTCCATTTTTGTAGGGTTTGCCTTTTCATCTGGGGCTGAAAGGTAAGTGTCCTAGTGATCAGTAATCAGACTATGTCATCTCGAATTATCTACTTCCTTACCCTTACTATGAATTTCATGTGGCCTCTTCTGTTAGGGAACTTTTCTGCGTTTTGCAATATGAAGTGTTATCCTTTTATAACAACTTCTAAGCCCTATTACAAAATTTTATGAAGAACTGTTTCCTTTATAATACACAAGTATGCATAACCTATTTAAATAGAAAAGTATTCCAAAATTACCTTTGTAATTTTAAAATTATTTTATTTAATGTCATCAATGAACAATAAAAGACTTTATTAGGTGGACCTGCTCTTTCTGTTACAACACAAGGCCCAGTTGATTGAATTCAGTTTAATAGATCTCGAAAAATAGGTTCAGTAAGAAAACCTTTCTTCAGAATGTGACAGAATTTATACACTTTTCAACCAATTGTTTTAGATCACGGACCTCCAGCCCCTTTGTTTGCTGAAATCTTAAAAGATCAAAACCTCAGATTGAATTTGGTTTTATTCCATTTTTCTTTAAAACTTTGATCTCACCCTTGGAATTTATCAATAGTTTCATTCTCTTTCATTTTCTTTAGACTTTAGAAACTAAGTGGTGACATCAGGAAAATGTCATCTGGGTAAGCTTGCAGCCTTCCTTTGAAGCAGCACATGTTCCCTGGGGCTATAGGAAAAGGCAAGCTAGCAGATATGCCAAAATGTCTGCGGATGACTAATTCAAAGGAAATAAAAGACACATTCAATGCATTTCTGTTCTAAAACAACAATTGAAATAAATGCATATATTCCCCTTTAATATTAATTTTTTATAAGAAGACATGAAGATTTTCTTCTGCCATTGTAATATGTTAAATTAATTAAATTCCATATTATATTGCATTGATGTCAAAGCAAGCCAAAATGATATTTTAGGTTTAGATTTTTCTTAATCTGAAAAGTGATCTTAGAAATAAGAACAGGTGCTAGAGATATATTATAGGCATTTAATAAGACTTACCCTTTGAAAAAGTCATCTTTAAAGTTTTACAAAGCACTCTGGATTTTAGAGAAACTTATTGAAACCATAATAATGGAACATCCCAGGGGTCTGCAATACTTAGGTAAAGTAAAAACTACAAAGGTAATCCTTTTCAGTCTGTAACTCAGCATGTTACAACCCTTTGCTATATGGTTATCTTTATCACTTACATGGGTAGAACATTGTAGTGGAATTTGTTTGATTAAAGTCAGTGTTTATGAATAAGATGTAAAAGAAGTAATGTGGAGGTGGATTATATAGTTTTAATTTTAACAAACAGTGATATTTTGGTAAAATATGAGCATGGTAGAGAACTTACCTTTGCACAGTAAATAGAAATATAATTGCTTTCATCTTCATTACACGGATTTTTATGTGCAGCTAACTATAATTTGAAAAATGTAATGAAATTACATTAAACTTTTACTAGGAACAGTCAGGGTTGGGTTTTTTTTCCAGCTAATTTAGGAATGTTTTTGTTGAAAATTTCCTAATGAAAATTAAAATAAATCCTATTAACTTCTAACTAAAGGTTTATGTATACAAGTTAGAAAATGAATTAGCAGTGCAGATGAATAGCCAGGGATGAAATATATTCCATTCTCAAATAACCTCATGACCTTTACTGTGGTATGAGTTGAGTTTGATGTTTGGCTGGAAATTGACAGTGTGACAGTTTTGACAGAAATTTATCCATTCTTCTAGATTATGGAACTCATAGTATACTTTTTGTCCAAGTTGTTTAATGTTTATATGCGAAGTTCGTTTGCAAATCTAAGATTTTAATTGGTTGTTGTTTTTATTGGGTAGATTTATGTAAGCATAATTCTACTAAATTAGATACCACTATTTAAGAAGAGTAATGGTATATTTTTTTCCATCCTAGAAAATACATTTTAAATCATTTTAACCCACTATAAACATTTTGATAGTTTTTAGAGACTCCTCATAAAACATTTTTTTAAAAAAGCAATTGGGCAGTGTTTGAACATAGGGTAATAATTCATACCAATTATATTGCTAAACACAAGGTCTAAGGCCTAATAATATACCATAATTCATACCATATGGTCTGATAGCAATTAAATACCATCATTAAATATATTGCATATATACATAATTGTTGAAATCTTGCTTATATGAAATAGCATTCAGTGCTTTATTATCCAGAAATAGTACCTTTGCTTATTTTTGTGACAATGCTGTAATCATTAGAGAGCCATTCAGTATATACTTTTAATACACACATAGGCCTGGATTTTTTCTCATGTTATTGTGACTATTGATATTAATGCCTTTGAGTCTCTGCTGATTCTTCTATCACCTAAGTAGAACAGGTACAATCAGATGGTTCTAAAGTAGTGATTAATATATACCTGAAATTGCACTCCACTGTGAAGAAAACAAACAACTAAACCCAAAAGGCCTTACTGACTTAGGAGATCATGTTCTAGAAAATCTCCAAGGGGTTCTCCCTCTACCTCTGGAAGATCAACAAATGTTAGAGGAAGCAAGTGATTACTAGGCAGATTAAATACCTACTATTTCATGGTGCTCATGGTACCTCTAGTAGGCGATTGGCAGGTTCAGCTTGTGACCATGTTAGTAGGAATAGAAGGGTGTGTCTTTTGGATTCTCAAGTGCTTGGGACTGCTTACTTCATGTAAGTTTTATCAGTAATAAACTTGTCAGTTTCACACAATGATGTAACCCCCAAAACATCATTTAATTTGATTTTTTAAAAGATATACTTCTATATAATAAGTAGAAAGCTTCTGTATATCAAGTTATAATGTCATGGACTTTGGGACCATAATGACTAAGGTTTACATTCTGACAGCCTACTTAAAGCTCCCAGCCCAATTTCAGGATAATTTACAGATAATAATAATTACCACGGAGCCATATGCCAATATTAGAAATAATATTGCAAAGCACCCAGAACCCTCACAGCAAGTGCTCAGAGCACATTGAAACAAGTTTTCACAAGGTGTCATGCCTGAGCAGTTCATTCTGGTCTAAAGAAACTGTGTGTGTATTGGAGAAGGGGCACATCCAATTCAAACTTTTAATTTAACCAAGGTTATTAAATGCTTACAATGTGCAAAGCATGGCCACGGAGGTTGTGTATACTAAGGAAAGTTGGCTTCTTCTGTTGCTTAGTGGCTGAGGTTAGGAAGTCAGATATCAGGGAGATAGAAGAGGAAGAGGCACAGTGTGGGGCTTGGTTGTTGGCTAGAGGTTGGGCAGAACACATCTCGGTGATTCTTGGATAGTACAGTAATTTGCCAGTTAACCCTATACTACCTATGTCTTTTATTTTCTGTATTCCTTTTTAAAATTTTAAAAATGTTTGTTTGTGCTATTACAGTTGTCCCAATTTTCCCCCTTTGCCCTCCTCTGCCCAGACTGCCCCTTACTTCCATAGTCAACCTCCACACAGTTGTCCACCTCTGTGGGTCCTTCACACTTGTTGTTAGCTAATTCTGTAATCTGATGCTTTGACATCTGAGCCTTGCTGATCCTGGAGGAACTGCCCCTCCCAGGGCTAGCCAAGTCCTAGAGAAAGTAAACAACTCCAACCAATCAATCCAGAGCCCACACCTCAATCACACCTTTTATTGGTCTCTCCCACTCTAGGCCACACTCAGGGCCAGGTACCAGATAACCAGGTTTAGTCTCTGCACCTCAGGGCCTGCTGAAATTATTCAAAAACTCATCTGTCCCATATCTGCATATACTGCCTCACCCATCCCTCCCCATGAAACCACCAAGAAAGCTTTAACTCACTAATTCCCTCATTCCCTCCTGACTGATCCAGGTACTTCTTCATATAGCCACCCCCCACCCCCGCCCCGGCATGGTGTTGGACTCATGAGTATCAACAAACTGCTATCTCTTGATCTGTTTGTCTATTATTATTCCTAAATAATGCAGATATTAGTCCTAAAACAGGCACATGCCTACATAATAATTATATATAAATAATCATAAAACTTTATTTTAAAACAAACCACCAGAGCCTGAAGCTTGCAAAAGTGTTATCAGAAACACATGTGAAAGGAGTTTGGATAAATGAGATTGTTTAAATGCCCCTGTAGCTCTTACCAGGAAACAGAAGCATTTGTGGAAGATAACAACAACAACTAATAAATAAAGCCACAGAAGAACATAGTTGTACCCTTTTATTGGCACAGTCACTTTTCAAAGGCTGGTATGAATAAAAAGTTTTGAGTAGCAGGACATGATGGTCTAATGGCACCACTCAGAGCTTTCTGACAGCCCACAGAAGCACATCAACAGACAAGGCAGTTGCATTACAGGAGGGTTGAGGATATACAGCAGGTGAGCCATGCAGTGGAGCTTGGAGAGGACAATTGTCTTGTGATGTGGCATTACTGCTCGAACCAGTAAATCTCAACGTGCTTATTTGTATGGTGTAGACCTTAAATGAATATGACCCTTTCATCCCAACAGCTATGAATTTGAAGCCATACATGCTGAATGACACAAAATTTCCTGTAACTTATACTTAAGTCAGCAGATGAGATTTAATTAAAAAGCTCACTACCCACATATCCAGAAATGCAGGGCATAAGAAAGAACTGCCTTCTACTCAATGAACAAAATATAAAACATGGGACTTGTTCCATATATATGTAGGGCGAAGCTAAAACAACAACATAGTCCCGAGATTCTTAGGTATTTTAGGTTAAAAAATGGCATGTGAAAGAAAAAAATTCTAGAAACAATTTTTAAAAATATGTATTTTGAAGAAAGGGAGCACCACCAATTGCATAAAGTTATAAAATACAGTAAGAAACATGTAAATAATTTTCAGGTTCATAATTCCAATAAAACACAAACACCTACAAGGAAATAAAACACATGTCCTGTAGAGTACATTATAGTAAAATGATTGGAGTTCAAGGAGCATGTGGTCAGACTATATAAAAACAAATGTATAGTGTGCATGGATCCCTCCTCTCCTCCACCACTCTTCCCTCTCCCACCTCATCCACACATTTTATAGCTTTTTTTCTTGCTACATAGAGGTAGCATGGCCCTATAACCATGAAGCCTGAAAATCAGAATGTATCCACACAGAATGGGTAAGAAAACACGCACACACAGTCACACACACATATCCAGGGAATCTCGGGTATTTAACCTCTCTGTGCTGTGCTTTTCTGTGTAAATGTGTGGAGAGAGCACCCAGTGTGTATCGGAGGCAGCCTTCTGTTGATGCAGCCTGGAATCACTAGGCAGTTTTATTCCGAGTCTGTAGTTCGGACTACATCAGATGGTTGTGTCCCAGAACTCAGAAGGCAGCCTGCTGCAGGAGGCCCCTTCTGGCTTCTTCAGGAGAGTGGGTTTTTTGCAAGGAGGTGGGGGAGGCCCTCTGGGCTCCGAGTGCTGCAGGATTTGCTGCCAGTCTTCTCTTTCCTCACAGAGCTTTCGCCTCCAGTCTAGGAGTTCCTGCAGGGCCACACTTTCATTCTCTGAGAGCCTCAGCTGATGGATTACCTGTGGTAGGAAAGAGGGGAGAAAAAGAGTAATGCCAAATACGAATTGTGTGTGAGCAGCACAACATGTATAATAGTAACATCTGGATGCCAAGGGACTGGACTTGGGTCAAGAGAGACATCATTTGTTCCCTGTAAAACCTCCAGGCACTCAGTAACTGGCATTCAAGTGGATCGGCTGTGAGCTGCTGAATTAAGGTGAATGGAACAAAAAACAAATCAGTGGAACATTTAGGATAGGTACACAGGTTAACATGTGATATACCTCCAGGTGATACAAGTAAGACTTAAATGTCTATTTTCCCTTTGCCCTATTATTATGTATATTCTTATAACATCTTGTACTTTCTCTTTATTTAACTTACTACAATTGTAATTCTGTCTGATGTTTTTGGATTTTGAAAGGTTCTCCCCATTCTAGGATCCACTTCATCTATGCATGATTACTCTCATTATCTTTTAAGGTAATGTGACGCCACTCTGACCACCATGCACTGACCCAAGGTTGGACCCCCTGCTCAAGAGGGCCCACTTACAGTCAATGTTAAGAGAGGACCACAGTAATATAGAAACCATTTCCAAGAGTTACGTGTGACAAGAGACAGCCACTAAAATATCAAATGAGCTCAGTGGAGTCAGGTAGTTGTGCTTGAGACCACCTGCCAGCCCACTGGTGTGTCCATGCATGAGCCACTTCATGGCAGTGAGTCAAAGCTGTGATCTAAACTAGCAGCTGTGTGCTCCCTCAGATCTTGAGACTGCAGAGATGAGAATTTTAGGGGCCTTTTCAGGACAACATCAAAACATGCAATTGTATCCGTGATTTTCCTTAGGGCACCTGAAGAGAGATGCCCTGGAGACTGCACTTGCCCCCTCACTGCAGCTGGGGCACTTGAGGACAACCAGGCTACATTGACTGCCATGGGCTTCCCCTGCTGCCTGCAGCCGGTAATCTGTTAATGGCTGGACATTGCAGAAACCAGTATTTCTGTCAATTCTAAAGTGAGTATGCTGGTTTTAAAAAATGAGGTTCTAGGTGAGGACAGTAAAGGAGGATAGGAATATTGGTGGAATTCATATGAAATGAGATGGCTCACTCCACCTCCAGAGCACCTGTTACTTTTGGCCAGTGCTGCTTTCATCCTCTTCATCAAGACAAAAGAGAAGAAGAGCAGGACACAGGAGTTTCTGCTTATGTGACAACAGGTGCTTGAAAGAAGCACAGGTAATCAAGTGTTCAGGACAATTCTAACACCAACACCTTCACCTGGACAACCAAGCCTATTATCTGCCCCAAGAAGGAGAATTTGAAGCCTAGACTCAAGCTGTTGGACAGAATGTTCAGATATGGTGTTAAAACACAGAAACCAGGAGGTCAAATCCATATCCAGCATGCATAAGTAGATTTCTGGAGCTGGTTTTTAGCAGGAGTTTTCCCAGACTGAATTTACAAACAAGGAAAAAATTAAAAACCTAGGTGTGGAAAACAGGACTGTGGTCATCCAATTCCTAAAGCAACCTGCAGGCATCAATAGAAAACAGGCTGCTAAAGCAGCATGCCCCACTTAAAAGGACATTTTTCTCTAGTGCCCAGGACTGCACCAGAATGACCTGGAAATGAGATATTGTCCTATTGGGAAGACTCTACTGTCAGGGAAGTGAGCCAAGAAAGTGAGGTGGAGGGTATGCATAAAAATTATTTATTCAATAAATACTTTAGAGTACTAAGTAGATACTGAGCACTTTTCTAAGTACCTTACAAATGTTAACTCATGTAGTCCTTCCAAGAACTCTATAACGCAGTGCTAGCATTTTGTGATGAGGAAATTGAGGCATAGAGAGGTTAAGTAGTTTTTCCAAAGTCACACAAAATACTGGAATCAAGCAGGCTGGCTGCAGAGTCTGCCTTCTTAGTGATTACTCTATAGTGCTTATCGTTTACTTAGCAAGTATATCCAGGATGCTAAAGATTTCTATACCACCTTCCTTTTCCCTTCTTTTTCTAAGTGGAATTTGAGTGAAATCTGAATGTTTCCTTTATTCCTCTCTCTTCTCTACCCATATATTATGTGGTGATTACATTTAGCTTCAGTCTCATTTACTCTATGAATATTAAATATCTGTATATATGTTCCTTGGCATACATTCAGTATATAATAGCAATCTCCAAAAATGCTGCCATTGGATTTATTTTTATGAGAGAATAATTAATTAATAGAAGGGTATGACTACCATCTTAGCTGATTATTTTCCCAAAACTCCCTTGAAATATCACCTTCCTTAAGTAATAGAAGTTCATATTGATCTATTTAGAAAACAAAATAAAGAACTTCTATTTCTGCATAAGATTTCATAGGTCATGGCAGGATACTTCTCCCACATTATAAAATAAGAAAGGAATAAATTACAAAAATCATATTTTTAAAACATCACAAAGCCCTGGAAAAACTGAGAACTAGAGAAACCAAATTTCTGGATGGAGAGAATCTTTCTGAGCAAATGAATAATTACCAGCTGCTTTTTTTGTGGGATGTGCATCTACCAATTATATACTTCTGTAGGTCTGGAGAGCTCCTTCTAGAAGAAACAGAAAACTGTACAATATTTTGCAGGTACATGGAACTTGAGACACAAATTGGAAACTTGAGGATCCTCAAATACATGGCCATTTTCCCCAAGAGATATTTGTTAAGTTATTCAACTGTATGAGTAAGTGATGCCTTGGGTCAAAAGCTTATAAAAAGTAGAGTGAAATGTCCTATAATGACAGAGATGTTTTCAGAAGCAGTATTTTAACAGGGGAGAGGAGAGCCTCAAGCACCTGACTAGTTTCATCTTAAAGATTTTCAGGCTTTAAAACTGAGTGGGGCACATGGATGGAGTATGGGGCTCTCAAATACAGAGCTGGAGCTCCTGTACTGTTTCAGTGCTAAGGGACCGTATAGGTTTTCACTCAAAGCATGGGAAGGTGCAATGTGAGGATTAGAGGAGAACCAGAAATAAACTGGTTCTCCAACACAGCTCCATTTGTGATTGGATTGATGTGATCATCCCTTGTCTTTGCTTCCTAACAAAGGATGATGATAACCTTTTATGTAGAAAACATCGTCTATAGCATTCATAGTTTGTTTATATACAATGTTTCCCATGCAATCAGAAATTACTATACATGTGAAGAGACAAGGAAATTTACCAAAATTCAAACTATAAAACAGATTCAGAGATGATCCACATACAGAGTTAGCAGGTAAAGACTAAAATACCTATGATTAAATATTTAAAAGAACAGAAAAAGGTGGATAAATGTAAGAAATAGCAGAATGGACATGAACATAACAGGAGTATCTGAAGTAGAAGAAATACAAAGAATGTGGCAAAGCAATTGTCAAACAGATGTTTCCAAGACTTGTGAATAGCGTCAATACACACATTTAATCAGCTCAGCAAATCACACAAAAAATAAACACACATCTTCACCAACAACAAGAAAATACAAGGCATATCATATTAAAAACACCAAAGACAAAAGACAAAAAGAAGTACTTTAAAAATCCAGAGGAAAAGACATGTTACCTTTAAAGAAATGACAATGAGAGTGAAAGCGGACTTTTACAGAGTATAATTGGAAGACAGAAGACAGCAAATCACAGGTTAAAGTACTGAAAGAAAGCAATTCAACCTAGAATTTTGTATTAAAAAAATCCCTTAATTATGCAGGTGAAATAGAAATGCTTCTGGACAAACAAAAATGAAGTAATTTAACATCAAAAGTCTTGTGTATATGTGTGTGTTTTTAAGGTGAGAGAAAATGTTATCAGATGGAAAAATGGAAATTTAAGAGAAAAGAACAGTGGAATTAAATACATGGGTAAATATAAGTTATACATTTGTAATGCTTTATAGACTTAAAATTAAATATAAAATAAGAATGGATGCCACCAATAACTTCCAAAGCCAGGAGGGGTTTCATGAAGTTTAGAAGTTCTGAAGTTCTAGCAGTATTAGGGAAATGGTAAAAGTAATAAAATCTGTTATGATGGAATAAAGTACACATTTTATTCTGTAGTGAAACTACAAGAACAGTGAATGTACAGTAAATAAGTTAATATAAAGGAAATGTGAAATAAATATTTGATTAATCTAAAAGAAAGAAAGAAAGGTACATAAAGAATATAAAAGTGGAGTCAACTCCTAACAAAACAGAGTAAAGCACAAAAACTAGGCAAACAGAATCCAGATCTCCACCCAGCAGTTAGCCTTGCCCTTTCATGGCCTGATGTCATGTGCTGGATTTATCTTCACGCTGATGTGAACATACACCGTCCTCATACCAATTGCAAAATGCATCCATTTTATATTTCTTCTCAATCCACAACTCTCAGTAATTTTGCATAATGACCAAAAACATACACTACGTGAGACCCTCTGCTAAGTCCTTCATAACAGGAAGAGATTTACAGATTCAGTTACTCCACAGAAGCTGCACCAATTTGTGAGAGTGACTTTCAGTGGATGCTGATTTGAATAAGGCTTGTGGGGAGTGATTCTGACATACAATGTCCCAAATCCCCTAAGTCATTGCTTCACTGGAAAAATTGCTCTCTACCCTTTCAAAGCTTCTCAATGTTTATTAAAAAAATCTGAATTCCCAAGTACATTATAAAAGGTGAAACTTATATATACAAACCATTAGAAAGCACTTTCTTAATGAGGGTATTGATGTCTTGAATAATGTAGTGAGTACAGAAGAACGCTGTCTTTGAGTCAACAACTAATAGCTCTTTATGCTTCCTTGATAAGCAAAAACTAGACTGATGTTTGCAATAATCAACCAATGCTCAGAATAAACTCTTTCATTGAGAGATCTCATGAATCTTTATTTTCTATTATGGAGATTAATAGGTATTGAGTAAAATTTAATAGGTATATAAAGATAGTTGGCCAGAATGGCATAAATGAGATGTTAAAATATTGACATTATTGATCTTCATTTAAAAAACA